CGGAGATGACTCTAAATCCTGACGACTCGATAAAGCATATATGCGATTTTGCTGACCTCCTGAACCAGAAGTTCCAACTCTTCCCCTACCCCTGCCAGCTGATGTCTGCATACTCTGCCGAGGAGGACGTATCAAAGAAGAAGAAGCCCCTGCAGATGTCGTCGGCTAAGCCATACCCCCTCCGCCTGTCATCGGATAATGTCTCATAATATGACCTAGTTGTCCACATGCATAACATGCATCAGAACCCTGGTGACATGGTCCAAAATGATTTCGGCCACATCGATCACATCTGGGAAACTGAGGCCTCATCTGACTGAATTCACCTCTAAACTGTGGACCTGGGGTCCGTGAACTCTGACCTGGACCAGAATAAGTGGTTCGATCATGTCGCTATCCCTGAAACTGTGGTGGTGCACTGGATACCGGATAAGATGGACGCCTAGGAAACTATGGCCTAAATCCACCTCAAAACTCTCCTGTGTTACCTGTGAACTGCGCCCTCTTCTACTGGCCTCTATCATGCTCTCAATTGGCTCGTTGTTGCCTCTTGCGATCCTCTAAACCCTGTGCATATGCTTGAATACGGGCAATATCGATTCCTTGGTTTAGAGAAGCTGTAGTGCACTCATTTATCAAGTGTGCCCCCAAACCACTAACAAACTGGTGTAGCCGATCACTCATATCGGCAACAATCGTAGGAGCATACCTAGCCAAAGAGTTGAACTGCATGTTATATTCCTGAACGCTCATATTACCCTGTTCTAAGTGTAAGAACCTATATCATCGGGCTCTTCGAAGCTCAATTGGCAAATATTGCCGTAAAAATGCCTCAGAGAACTCCTTCCATGTCACTGGCGGCACATTAGGCCCTCGAGTCTGCTTCCAAGTCTCATACCATATCACAGCAATATCACGTAGTCTATAAGAAGTAAACTCCACTGAATCAATATTTGTGGCATGTATAATTTGTAAGGTTCGTTGCATAAGATCCAGAAAATCTTGTGGGTCAGTATTAGGATCAACCCCTGTAAATACTGGAGGATCCAAGTCGATAAAGTCTTGAACTCTCGCACTCACGGACCTATCAACAATACTGAGGGTTTGGTGTTGGGCCTGGGAGGCCACTATTCGAGTCAGCAATTGTACAACACTTCGCCTGTCTAGGTCCTGATCAGGAACAACTAGGAGAAGGACTGGAGGTACGTTAGCTCCTCTACGCCCTTCCGAGGGTGGTGAGGTTGCCACCCCGGAAGCCTAAGAATCAGCCTCATTCTTTGGCTCATGTTAATCTACATTAGCAGGTGGGACCTGACTTGTGCCCTCTCCCACCTCCTCATCCAAATTCTGAATAAATTTCATAGCCACTTATCGTCTTGTAGTATTAGGCATCACTGAGAAGGTAAACAAAAAGAGAATTAGGAATGAATACTTATGATTAGGCACTATTGCACGATCTAGATCAAGAAGAAAGTAATAATCCTAAATGCCCAATAAACTCATGTTTATAAGTATGGTACACAACACACCATAAACAAGACTCTACTAGACACGGCTTGCAGACTCCCTAGGACTGACCTGCTCTAATACCAAGTTTGTCACACCCCAATCTTGGGAGGTGTGGCTGGCACCCGATGCCCGAAGGCCTGAGCGAACCAACCATGAGATATGATCTGAAATATAATAACCTGCAGGCAGAAGAGCCCAA